CTTAAAATTTTGGTACAATGACCCTGGCAGTCTATCCCTGTAGGATTTATGTTTTCATCTTGTTTAAAATCTCTTTCACTATGCCAAAGCCATAAAAGTTATTAGACAAAAGTACAAGACTCTATGTACTATTTGCTGTTTTTCTTTTAGCTATTTGATTCATGTAGAATATATTTCTGTACATGATTTGAGATGGAGACATGATTTTTTTTTTTTTTTTTCCTGGATGGCAAGTCAGCCTAGCACCGCTTAAATCAACTACCTTTTCTCCATAGATGTTACTTTATTTTTTTACTTGCTTGAAACTGCTGCTGGATTCCCCATGGCCTAGAATAGTTCCTCAGGACAGGGATACTGTAAAGTCCACCAACCAGTCCTGGTAAAACTCTGCTTTAAAGCCGCCTCGTAGTCCCTGGCTCTCCACTGAGTCCCAGGTTATCCTTGAGATAGTGTCCCAGACCTTTTTTCTCTAAGTATCCACTCCTGCCTCCCAGTTCTGAGAACTACCAAGTCCATCACTCTGCACTGCACTCTTGGTAATGTGTGTGTGTGTGTGTTTTTTTTAATAGCTTTATTTTAATATAGTAAAACAGAGTATATTAAATATTCACAATTTTTTGAGTTTGGAATTAACCGTGCACTTGTGAATCCTTTGGCACTTCCAGGTAGTAAGCTTATCTGTTGCTTCCCAAAGTTCCCTCCTGTACTCCATCTCTCCACCTTCTTGTGAGAAGAATGCCTAATGTAAGATCTACTCTGTTACTAAATTATTTTTTATTTTTATTTTATATTTAGTACAGGGTCTACAGGGTCTCTCTACACAGGTCAGACTCAGAGTGATCCTCCTGTTTTCAGCCTCCCAAGTGCTGGGATTATAGGCATGCACCACCACGTCCAGTCTCAATCACCTTCTCAGTGTGCCCAGGGGACAGGGCTGCTACTGCAGGCAGGGGATCAAAACTCTGGCCCCTGTGTTTGTTTAAGAAGGTGCTTCAATCTGCTGAGCTATCTGGCCAGCCCTCTGTTAATACATTTTTAGTAAATTCTATAGGCGTGACATTTTATAGCAGGTCTCAGGGACTTACTTACCTTATGTAACCCGAACTGTGTACTCACTGAACAATGCATTGTCCCTTTCCCCAGCCTCTGGGAACCACTGTTCTACTCTGTTTCTGAGTTTAATTATCTTAGATTCCACATATAAGTGAGAGTGTGCAGTATTGTCTTTTTGTATTTGGATTATTTCACTTGTGTAATGCCTTCCAGGTTCATCTGTATTGTCACATATAAAAGCCTTTCCTTCCCTAAAGGCTGAACCGTATTGCACTGCGTGTATATAACATAACGTTTTTTTTTTTTTTTTTTTTTTCCGGAATCGGGGATTGAACTCAGGCCCTTGCACTTGCCAGGGAAGTGCTTATTCTACTGAGCCATCTCCCCGGCCCCATAACATAGCTTATTGATTCACCTGTTGATGAACGCTTGAGCTGTGCCATGTCTTGGCTACTATGAACAATCCTGCAAAGCAGATCTTTCTTCGTGATGGTCATTTCAATGTTTTGGATCTGTATCCAGAAGCGAGTAGAATTTCTGAATCTTATGATAATTGTATTTTTAATTGTTTAAAAGGAAACTGCTGTCTTCCATTGTGGCTGTTCTATTTGACATTCCCGTGAACCAGGTAAAAGCTTGTAGCTGTTCTACATCCCTGCCAGTGTCTCTCTCACAGTGACCACAGCTAAGGGAAAAGGTGCATAATGTCACTACTGATCAGGGAAGTGCATACCTACGTCACCACGGGCTACTGGCTGCCACTTGGTGAGCTGGCCATTACATGTGTGTCCTGGCTGGCTGGCTTTCAGTCACAGCCTCACCACTTTTTCATCTTTGTTCCCAATAGTTAGCTAGCACGGGGGTCATATGTCAAATAACTGCCCTAGATGGTTTTCACCTACATTTGGCCTCAGTGTGACTTCAGATGGGCATTAAAGCTAACAGGGAACACAACAAAGAAGTTGGACTATGTATTGAATTCTATTCGTCAATATTCACTCCCACAAAATATCACATTTAATTATATATTTGCTTTCAGTTAACAAATCACAAAGGTTCAACAAAAGCAAAAGTGCTTAGAACAAATATTATGAAGGATAAAAAACGTACAATATACTAATTAGTTGAAGTATATCTTATAAAATGTATGCACACATAAAGGACTATATTTGACAGAGTAAATGTGATTATTTTAGTAATTAGATGTAATTGATTATGGTTTTTATATATTACTCAAACACACTCCAAGAAGAGTAGTTGTCTATATGTTGAGAAAAAATTTAAATGTTCTGATTCAAACTGTTCTCATCAAATTGTTGAGATTTTGATGCGATCTAAAAGGAGATTCATTACAACATTTAATGTTGGCTGCAGCCCACCATTACCCAGTGATGTGTTCAAGGCAGATATGACCTGGTGATGGGAGAAGAGTTTGGGTGGCCTCCTTTACCTGTACCCTTCCTTGTCGTCTGTCTTTCTCAATTATTCCCTCCTGCATTTCCAACACCCACAGTAGCATGCAGGAGTGATTGCACAGACAGCATGAACAACTGCTAAATTGATACTTGAGCAAGGATGACAGAGACATAGATTCAGAGTGGGCATCATTTAGCTGAAAGAAAATATCTGGCATGCATGGATGCCAGATCAAATGAAACTAAAATTCCTTGACTTTGTTGAGGCTAAATATTGAGTGACACCTTCAGACTGAAAATGAGATAATGCCTGAAGAAAGAGTAAAACAGTTTCGGATTTGTGCCTTCAAAACCCATATTGCTGAATTTTCCATAACAGTTCCAATAAAACAGAAAGAAATGAGAAGAATTATGTGTGATGACTTTGATTCTTGTCACAACCATGTCATTGTAAGTCTTTGTCCAGTGGGACACAATTTCTGCAATTATAAATTGTGTTAGGAGGATCTACTCTAAGGTCATTATAGAACTTGTCAGGATTGAATAGAATTAAAATTTATGTATCCTGTTCTTTAATAATCTATTACAAGCAAAATGTCCTTACTACAATCAACACTGAAAGCAGGAAAACAGGAACATTGCTGTGGCAGGTGTGGAAGGGGAGACTTAGGTCTCCCTTAGAAGAACTTGCTGACCAGCCAACAGTATGCCTCCCAGGGTGGCAGATTGTGGGTCTGCCACACACTTGAAGGACATATTTTCTTCTGTGTTAGCCATGGACAGTGACTTGGCATGCAGGGCCACTGAGGCCTTACTATTTATCCCCAGTGTGAGACTCTTCTTTGTGAAAAATCTTGGAACTTGCCAAGGTTCTCCCACAGCTATTGTTTAGACCTAAGTTTTGCTTTGCTTTGCTTTGCCTTCTTGTTTGCCGCCGCCGCTGCCGCCGCCTCCTCCTCCTCCTCCTCCTCCTCCTCCTCCTCTTTCTTTTGTATTAAGTACAGGGTCTACAGGGTCTCACTACATAGACTGGACTCATAGTGATTCTCCTTTTTTCAGCCTCCCAGTTGCTGGGATTCTAAGCATGTGCCACCACATCCAGTCTCAATCACTGTCTCAGTGCACCACAGGGGCAGAGCCAGCACGGCATGCTGGGATCGAACGCTGGTCCTTGTGCCTACCTAAGCAGGTGCTTTAGTTCGCTGAGCTATCTGGCCATCTGAGACCTAAACTTTTCTTATACTCTACCCCTACTTCCCTCTCTCCTCACAAGTGGCAGCCTAAAGTTTCTGTGCCTATCCCTGTTCATCTTCTTCATGACGCAGCTGTAGGAGAGTAGTCTCTTCATCCAAGACTCCTCAGCTAACCTAGACAGCTGGATTTGCACTGACTCCTAAGAACACTCCACAGGTGCTTGATCGGTAGGTGCTAGGAGCTCCTCCCAGAGAGCTGACTGTGTCCTCTTTTAGAGATGATCCTGGACATTGTGTTGGATTCTGTTGCATTTTAGCTCTATTTTATTTCTGGATTAAAGATCCAATTATCTGAATACTCCATGAATTTAAGTCTTAGTAACAATTGAAATCATGGTGCACTATTAATTTCAAAAGTATCTTTTTTTTTCAGCCAAACTTACCCCACTCAGAGAACTTGTTTTAAGTTCTGTGTTTTCAAATTGTTTCTCTTTCTCTTTTCAAATCTACCTTTTCAACTGGGCTGCAAAATTCCACAGGGCACAGAATATGCCTATGAGGACACACTCAGTGACACCAGGCCAGATGGGTTGCAGTCTTCTTATGTTGAGTAGATCAATAACTTCATTGAACTTTCCTTCCTCACCTGTATTATGAAATAAAAATGAAATAAAATCTTCCCCTTCAAGGTACATGCTACCCTGACATCTGGAAGCCTACTGAAAGAATCGACACTGATTGCTTTAAGGTTGGAATGTGATATAATCCGCTGAGTTACTTTCTGTGAATTTGACGCTTCCACTTGGCTTAAAGTTACTGGAAGCAAAATATGCACACCACAGAGAAAGGATTTCTACTTTCTGTTGTTAAGTTGATATTCACATGTTCTCTTGCTTCACTTTCCATATTCTTCCCCTATAATTGAATTTCCAGGAGCACAAATAAGACAAAGCCAACATGCAGCAACATGTGTAGTCCAAGGAATCATCTCAATACCCGAAGTGCAGCAGTCCAGGGAAGCCACTCTGCATGCCGCGGGCAGCACGGGCTTGGGACCCTCACCCAGACTTGTTATGCCAGCTCCTACATCTAAGCAATGACTTCTTGCAACCTTCACTGCTCATCTGTAAGGTGAGCATAATGACCATATTTATACCTTTTATTTAGAAAATACATTTGAACACCTGGTTTTCATTTTTTGCATGTTATAAATATCTTTTCTGTGGTTTCAGTTTGCAAACTCATGATTGATTTTTTCCAATGAGCATCACAGAATGTTTTTCCTTTCTACAAAGTCCACAAAGTCATCTCTTGAACACTCAGACAATAATCTTTTGAAATAAATGCAACATGATATAAACATTGACTGCACTGAGCTGTGGACAAACAGGAAGCAGGCTACTGAGGTGGCAGGTGTCTGGCCAGATGCAGAGGCTGCGAGAGGTAGCACTGCTCCCTGTGGACGCCGCTCCTGTCTTTCCCGTCAATGAGTATAATCGGAAAACACTTGTAGTGTTCAACAATGTCTTCCACCGAATCAAACTTCTGAAAGACAGAAAGGAAAGTTAATGATTTCTAACATATATATTTTTTGTGTGTATTGTTGCATACTCTATTGCACTCAGAGAAGAGATGAGCTCACTTCCTGATGTTTGCATTGGAAATTCACATCAGGGGTGATCCTGCTTTACAAGGATATGGCAGACAAGGGTGAATGATCAGAGTGCGAAGATGACAGGGGAGAACAGACAAGCTTGCGGAGATCAACAATGAGCTTGATGGCTACTCTGTTTTCTGCTGTTGTAGAGTTCCCCAGAGTCAGTCCACATGGGTCATGGTCCACTATCACCTTCCCCTCCTAAGTCCCCCAGATGGGCTCATCAGCAAGCCCCATGGGAACACTGCTGCCTCCCTGGATGTGCCCCCAACTGTGACCAACCCAGATGGAGCTAAGGAAGGCTTGGACTAAGTAAATTGGTCGGAAGTACCCGTGGTGAGCATCTGCTACATGCTTTCTGTTTTAATGAGTCCTACTGCCCTCAGAGGAACTGTGACAGCCACAGGGTTGCTCATCCTTGGCCAATTTGGCTTCCTTTCTGGGTCTTCTAGTGAAATAATGAGGTGACTGCAGATGGCATGTTGCTAGAGATGCAGACAGACAGCTCCAGCAATTCAGCAAAGCATAAGATTATTTTAAGTTTAGGGAACCAGGAAGTTTTTTGTTCAGGGTATAAGCTTGGGCCTCTAGTATGGAAGACTGTAAATAAGCAGACAAGGAGGGTTAAAGATATTAAAAGCAAAGCATGGATGAGGATAGGTGTTGGGGAGACTCAAACAAAGAGGGCTGTTCTTGGAGGTGTTCCTGAGGGACAATCTTGGGTAGGAATTAGGAAGACCTCGCTCCACCTGCTACTCAAACCTGAAGACAACCTTGATCCTCCTGCACAAGCTTGTAAAGTTCCAAGAAGGTGGAACTATTGGGAACTGCGGCCAAGGGAAGTAGATAGGTTGACCTAGAGTCACACACTAGGGGGCAGGGCCAGCAGAAGTTCCTGTCTTCTGGACAAGTAGCTATTCTTTTTATTACAGCCTAGTACCCATGGCTGTGACCTCTGGGGTCCCAGAGAAGGTCAGAGGGTGGCATGGCCAGAGGGAAGGAAACCATGGTGAGACTTGACTTGGAGTTGGTTTTGTCTGTTTTTCCCTCCTAGGACATGGCAGGTGGAGATATACTGGAAGGCCCCAGGGCTATCTGGTAGGGAATGAGCCTGCCAAGACTGCTGTGCCCTTGGACATTGCTTTCTTCTGGGGGTGGGCAGAAAATGATTTCCTATGCAAATAGGTCATTTTATTTAGGGACATTTGCTGTGAAATGAATGATGCAGGTTTGGCACCCTCACCCACCCACCCAGTCTTTCTGTGGACTGCATATGGCTAGGGGATGCTCTTTTTGGATATGGGAACATTACATTGAAACACTGGACCTCAGCAGCTGCCAAGGCCACCTTCTCTGTCCTCCCAAGCAGCAGGTGTCCAGGGCAAGTATGCTACACACTGGGGGCAAAAGCAGAAGGAAACATGGAGGAAGGGTCTTGCCACACGCTGTCCCGCCCTCAGCTCACTGCTGCTGACCCTCCTGGTTACAGGAACCAATACACCTGCCCTGCTCTGAAGTGCGCTGCAGCTGGGCTTTGTCCTTTCACAGCAAGAGAGAGCAGGTCCAGTCAGGAAGTGGCTTCCCCTGCTAACCCCACCCTGGATCTGTGGAAGAGTTTTCAACCAGAAAAACCTATGTTTCAGCCTGATAGTCTCTTCAGGATGCTATAGGGAAAAATTCTAAGCTGGATGGCTGATAGAACACAGAAACTTGTTTCTCATATTAAGAAGCTTAAGATCAGTGCAGATGCTGTATCTGGCCAAAGCCTACTTACTAGTACATAGATGGCGCCCTCTCAGTGTGATCTCATGTGGCGGGAAGGAAGAGCTGCTGGCTTTAATAAAGACCCCCAAGCCCAGGCATGAGGGCCCCCCTTCCGAAGCCTCACACCTCAATGCCACATCTTGGAAGCTGTGACCTCAGCATATGAACTTGGGGGATCCTCACATTCAGATTATAGTGCCACCCCTGATAAGCACACACTATATAAGAGTGTCTCTTGTCTGATGCTAAGGCAAGGTGATTTCTGAATTGTTCAGTGGTGACAGTAATTGTTCTACCACAGCATGTAGCCCAAAGTAATCACTCCCCAGTGTGCATTCCAGAGTGCAAAGCTTGGCTTCTTCCAGGGAAGATTTTTTTTTTTCTGAACCAGGGATTGAACTCAGGCCCTTGTGCTTGGCAGGCAAGTGCTTATTCTACTGAGCCATCTCCCTGGCTCCTTTGGCTCTTTCCTATCAGCTGTGAGACCTGGAGTGAATGAATGTCTTACACTCTCTGTGTCCCAATATCTCTATGAAGCGTGATGGTGACAGCAGGGCCTGCTCCCAAGGTTCACGGTGCAGATCAATGGGGCTGATACACGGATGGCATTTAGCTCAAAGCACAACCTATGCTCCAGCATACAGAAGGGCTTCTGCTAGCGCCAGGAGCGACTATTCCTTTCTGTCCTAGCTCTGCCGAGAACACCCTGCAAGAGCTTGCAATATCAGAGGAATTTATAGACTATTAGTGCTACCTTGTAGGAGAAAGGGGGTTTGTGCAATTACAAATCAAGGGCAAATTTATTTTCTCTTTCTTTACACTTGAAACAAAAATTGATTAATGCAAAGAAACTTTTCATGCAGAACTCTCCCACAAAATTGGTTTAGTCAGTGCTGAAAGGAAATCTTTTTTGGTATCAGTCTTCAGAAGGAAAATGCTTGCTGCTTATTCTTATTTCTGTTTTCATTAGGATTGTCCTTGAATAATGAATTCACTATTAATTGTTTTAATCATTTACTACATGGATGATATTTTATTTGAAATTATAATTTTAACAAGTAGCAGGAAGTCAGGCAAGTGCAATTAATCATGTTGTCACTTATTATTGGCTGTTAGGGATATGCCCACAACAGAAATATTGCCTTAAAGAGACTTAAAAAAGATTAGAATGAAGCTCTTATTTTCATATTAAATTATGGTTTAAGAGGACAGTAAATGTCATCCTAATCCTGACCCTTTAGATCATAAAATCAGTTTAAATTCTTTGTACTCATCATATATATATAAAATGTGGGTGGTGGCACCTTTTTCTTTGCCAAAAATCAGTACCTATGGTCACGTACAACAAAGAGGGAGGGAGACAGAGACAGAGAGAGACAGAGACAGACAGACAGAGAGAGAGACAGACAGAGACACAGAGAGAGACAGAGAGAGAGACAGAGAGAGACAGACAGACAGACAGACAGACAGAGCATGAACAGGGAAAACAGGAATTGAGAAATAAACTCAGGTTCATTATTCAGCCTTTAAAGTTTAATTTGGCATGTAAATATCTCTTTGAACTTCCAGAAGTGTATGCGCACTTGCAGAGCAAGGATAGGTCTGCTAGCTGACATTGCTGTCTTCTCTGAGTGTCACAGAAGTGCAGACAGGTGAGACCTCTAAACTTGAGTGCAGGGCTAGAGGGTGCCTCAGATTGCCCAGAGCTGGTATTCTGTCATGGTCGCTACTGCTGGGGTGCCTGCCTAGACAGAGTGGTTTAAGGGATACCCTGTGTTCCCTGAATGGAGCATGTTTTTGGCATAGTAGAGGCCTAAAACCAATGCTTTTCCAATAAATGAGTAGTTGAGCATAGTGGGCAGAACTGTGCTGGTCATTGCCAGGCCTGCACTCTAATCCCAGAGTCTAGGCATGCTCTCTCCCATGCTGCAACAGTAAATGTAATTTTATTTGGTAAAGTGTGGTGCTAAGTGAAGGATCTGGAAAGGAGGAGCTGATTGTAGGGTATCCGGGTGGGCCCTGGAAGCAGTCATCTGTATCCTTAGAAGACAGAACAGTGGGAGATTTTACTCAGAAGAAGCAGAGGCAATGTGACCACAGGGGCAGAGGCTGGAGAGAAGTGGCCACAAGCCAAGGGAGCCAAGGATGGTCGGTGTCCACCAGGTTATTCTCCAGATCCCCCAGAGGGAGCATTTCTCTGCTGAAGCCTTGATATTGGATTCCTGACCTCTGGAATTGTGGGAGAATAAATCTCTTGTTTCGAGCCATTCAATTGGTGATCATTTATAACAGTAGCATTGGAAGACCCATCCAGCAGATAGACCCTAAATCTGGAGCTGGGCAGCCGTGTCTAGTCCCCTGGCACATGGAATGACCCAAGCACCTTCACACCAGCCAAATAGGGCTTCCCAGGTCTTCACTCATGGACTGGTGGTGGCTTTGTGTGCGAGGGAGATGGCTGTCCACAGCCTTTCCTGGGGCCAAGGCTGGGGTGCTTCTGCAGCCCTCAGAGTTCTTCTCCCTGTGCCTGGGGTGCATGGCCCTGAGGAATGAGCTCCCTGGGACCAGTTGCAGTGGGATTAAGCATCTGCCTTATGCGTCCACCAATATCTACTCCTCCGTGGCTCACATCAAGCAGCTCCCACTAGTCAGAGCTGCTGTCACTCTGTGCAGCTAACTTCTGAAGTCTGCAAGTCAGAGAAAAACATACTCAAAATTGTCCCTGAAAACCCTCTTTCTCATTATGCATTTCCTGCCGCGATGGGCGAGAATGCTCTTCCTTTGATGGAGGGCCTGCTAGTGGGTTTGCATTGAGCAGAGTCTGTCTGTATCAGCTTCTTACAAAGATGTAATGTTCCTTTCCTGCCAGGCAGAGGTTCAGGCTGTGAAAGGAGCGAGGTGAGAGTATAGCTCTGCGCTGCTGCTACTGCTACGTATGCACTAGGCTGTGTCTGCGAAAGGTAGGAAGAACCATTTGCAAATTTCTGTTTCTCCCTTCCAGAGCTGGCAAACCACAAACCCCGAGTTAAATGTTCCTTTTCTTCAACATGCGGTGTTCTGGGCTGATTCCTGACAGGTGGGGGATTGTCTGCCTTTCAATCTGATGTTTCTGGCTGTATGAAGAAGCTTATGTTTTCTCCAAGTGTACCCAATCCCAGTGTTCCCCTTTGCTAGCTGGGACCTTAGAGAGAGCAGATCTTTTAATGTTTCTGTGCCTCAGTTTCACCAACTGTTATGGAGGATATGAGCAGCTCAGCCTCGCAGGCCTGCTCTCTGGATTTAGTAGACCCAGTTAGTTACTGATTGATGACTTGCAGAATGGTACCTGTTCAAATTCACGAGGGGGGAACTAACGTTTGGGGTATGAGATAAGAGAGAATTAAGGGTTAATGTGAAAAGGGGTTTCTGAAAATAGGCCTTGGCTGCCCCAGGGGTCCCTGGTGACAGTAAGTGGCGCAGCTCATCTGGAAGCTGAGGGCTGACTTAGGCTGCCCTCGTTGCCGGCTTCTTTTCTTGTTTCCCAGGGCAGTGGAGAAGGGCTGGCAGCCTGAGTAAGTGCTGTTAGGCTGTAATTACAGGCTTGCTCTGCTTCCTCTCCTGTATCAGCAAACCAAAGAATGGTTTGGGGGAGAAAAGTGGGGACCCTGTTATGGCGTCAGCTCCTTGTTA